GTTGCGTCTCGATAGCTATAAGGGTGCAGGAGATATGTGGTTGAAAGTGGAAGATTTTCTATTTCGATTTTAAAAATTTTCGAATTTGAATTCGTATTGGTTCGGTTATAGAACAATTGTAAACGTTCCAGAAAATTGATCAAATTGAAAATAGTTCGTTTGACTGGATGCAAAAATTTTCTAATTAGTTTGGAAAGGGGGGACCTAATTGTTGCATTCTGTGAAAGCGGGTAAGATTGGCTATAATGTAATTATCTTAATCTTCACTATCGTTACTTTTTGCCCACAAATAAAAACCCAGCAAAGCAGGTCCTTGCAGCTAGTATATTATAAATTCATTTTATATAATATATAAAATATATTATATAAAATGAATTTGAAAATTTAAATGAAAATTTTTATAAAAGGAAGCATTTTTATGTTTTATTAAATCATTAAATATTGTTTTAATTGATCTACTTGATCTATATTGTATTTTGAGATTAAAAAGTACTTAATATTTACAAATATTAAATATTCTTTCATTTCTAATTGCATATGAATATTATTTAACTCTCAAATTAAAATATCAATTTCACAAAAAAAAACAAAAATCATATTTCTTCATTTTTCTCAATAGCTACTGTATATTTAAAAAAGTGTTTATTTATTATTATTTTATTTTAAATCAATGAAGAATTCTCACTGCTATTATTACTTAGTTTGTTAAGAATTCAATTAAGTTGAATGTATATTAAGTATCATTTGCTTTTTTAGCTTTTCAAGATTAATTATTAATTAATGTAATGTAATATATATTACTATGTAATGGTTAAGTAATAATAATTCAATTGGAATTTCAAATTAAATTTGCTATTTATTTATATCCCTAAAAAAAAAATATAGTTAAATAAATGAGTATATTTAAGAATAAATTAATATAATGAAAATTTATGTATTTAAAACATGTTTTAATGCATATATTAAGGCAATCTATGTATACATATACAGTACATTTTTATCGATACCTGGTATATGATGATAAAAATTATACAGGCAGATCATCTATTGTTAAATATATTAATCTTTAAATAATGTATTATTCATGATTTAAAAATTACTTATGTTTAGATCAAACATTAATGGAACAGCATTAAAAGTAACAATTTTTAAGTTTTAAAACAAAGGCCTAAAAACTAATCCCATGCTGCACTTATTGAAAAAAGAGCTAGGAAGAATCAAACATTATGGTGTAATTCTACCAATTGGATTGCATGGATCCATACTTTCAGAAAATGGTAATTTTTACTGCTTTGTTCCAAAGTGTGATACTAGCTACATCACTTCTATATTAAGGCTTTTCATTCCTAATTGATAGTCATATACATACTATTAATAAACATCTGTTAGAGATTATGAGTGATTTTTAGCATTATCATATTTATTGAATAAAACTAAGTTTAGATAAAGAATATAAAATATCATTAAAACATATTTTTATTTAAAAAAATATTCTAGTCAAAGTTTATGTATTTTTAGATTAAATGTGGGTAATGGGCTAGGATGCATTTCCTATTAAACCAATTAGGTCCAGGCCATTAATGGTTTGGAGGCACAAAAATTCAAAATAATAATAACAAAATGAAAATATAATTTTATGTAGAAACAATCCATAAAGGAATTAATACAAATTAAGCTTAAATAGGAACAAAATTTGTTTTTCACAATTTCAATGTTAAAAAATCTAAAAAGTATTGCAGAATTAAAATTATAAATAGAATATTCAGTGCAAAAGTAACCATATTAATTTGGAGAGTGACTGCATGTTGTGAGCCTAGGGGCATCATATTTTTAAATGTACCACTGGTAATGATTGGGTTTAATATTGCTCTGTACCATGTTTAAAAATATTTTATCTTTGTCATTTAATGATTTAAAGGTTTAAATTTTACAATATATTATAAAAAAAAATTGAACATTTCAAGTATAGATCACCAAATGCACTGCTTATATTTCAAGATTTCACTATAACTATANGTTCCAAAGTGTGATACTAGCTACATCACTTCTATATTAAGGCTTTTCATTCCTAATTGATAGTCATATACATACTATTAATAAACATCTGTTAGAGATTATGAGTGATTTTTAGCATTATCATATTTATTGAATAAAACTAAGTTTAGATAAAGAATATAAAATATCATTAAAACATATTTTTATTTAAAAAAATATTCTAGTCAAAGTTTATGTATTTTTAGATTAAATGTGGGTAATGGGCTAGGATGCATTTCCTATTAAACCAATTAGGTCCAGGCCATTAATGGTTTGGAGGCACAAAAATTCAAAATAATAATAACAAAATGAAAATATAATTTTATGTAGAAACAATCCATAAAGGAATTAATACAAATTAAGCTTAAATAGGAACAAAATTTGTTTTTCACAATTTCAATGTTAAAAAATCTAAAAAGTATTGCAGAATTAAAATTATAAATAGAATATTCAGTGCAAAAGTAACCATATTAATTTGGAGAGTGACTGCATGTTGTGAGCCTAGGGGCATCATATTTTTAAATGTACCACTGGTAATGATTGGGTTTAATATTGCTCTGTACCATGTTTAAAAATATTTTATCTTTGTCATTTAATGATTTAAAGGTTTAAATTTTACAATATATTATAAAAAAAATTGAACATTTCAAGTATAGATCACCAAATGATTTAATTTGTTATAGTTGTTTTCAAACATTTTTAATAATTTTTTATAAAATGTGTAATTTCAAAGTAGGCAAATTTTTTTGGAGTTTGATTTATCCTAAAATATATATATTAAAAGTTGTATTATTTTTATTATATAATTTATTATACACCTATAAACTAGATTAATTTACCATGGTAAAGTGAGTTGTAAATTCCACTCCAATGCCAACAGCTACTATCAGAATTACAGCTGGAATAGCACTTAAGCGAATACCAAGAATCCCCATCAAACCAAATAAATGTATAACCATTAATGCCAAAACAATTACCTATAAAAATAAATTTTAAAAATTAAAATAAACATATTTTAAAAGAAAATTAATATAAATACTTTAAAATATTACATATAAAACTCTTACATATAAAATTTTTATGATAAATATTTTGAAATAAAACATGTAAATTCTGTATATTTAAAAATGATTTTAAATATACAGAATTCCATATTCTGCATCAAGTTGCACGGAATTTTGACATAATACAATAATAATGTCATTTCTTCATTCTATGGATCAATATTTTACTTTGAAAGACAAATATTCTCTGAAATGATCATACAAAACTACCATAATTTCTTGCATATAACCCACAAAAGTTTCTATAACACCTAGCTGGAACCTGCTTTTAAATTGACTTTAAAACATAGATAATCTGAAGGTTATAGATAGAAAATGATAGTAGATAGCACATTATATGCTGCCAATGTGAAATATAGAATTACTTAGTCTCCATTCACTCGTATTTCTCTTCTTCAATTTACTTATTTTCACATACTTGTAGAAAGTATGCTTTATATATATATATATATACTGTATACAATTCTTTAGATCATTATTATTTAAAGATAACAATAATCCAAAGATATGTTTTTCAATATAGGCACATTATAATTACTAACTATTAAGTAGGTTTTTAAACTACTTTACCATTGTTAATGATAATGACTTTTAACAAAAAGATGCATATATGAAGATTTATGAATACATTACAATCTTCCCATTTAAATTAACAGAAACAATATTTTTGCTTTATAGATTTAAACATTATAAAGTTTGTGCATTATAAATTGCATCTGTAAAGAAACTGTCAAGTTAAAGTTCAAGAAATATAATTCAAACACTGAAGAAATGCTTTTAAATCTACAAATTTAAATGTCTGCAATATCTGCTTTTATATAAAAAATGGAACATTTATAGATGACAAATAATTAATGAGAAAGACTTTTTTTAGTATGTTAATTTAATAAAGTAATTTTTAAAATGATTGGTTATATTTACTACCTTTTTTTTACTCCGTTTCTTTTCAATTCTTTGAAATAAATTAACTTGCTATTAAAATTACTCAAAAGAATAAAATACATATCTGACGTTATAAA